TGAAAAATAATGTGTTTTTTGAACATTAAAGCATGTCAACATATTCTGTTACACCAAATACACAAAATAATGATCTTTAAAATAGCATCATATGACCCCTTTAAAGAAATTAATACATTTATTCAGCAATTAGCACGTTAAAAATTGATCAAAAGTGACAATAAAGATTATATAATGTCACAAAAGATTTCTATGTCCAAAAAATGGTGTTCTTTGAAACTTTCTGTTCATCAGATAATCCTGAAAAAAAATGATTATGGTTTCCACAAAAATATCAAGCAGCACAGCTGTTTTCAATAGTGATAATAATAAGAAATGTTTCTTGAGTATAAAATCAACAAATTAGAACAGGGTTGGCCAGGTCTGCGTAACAAAACTAGCCCAATCATGGCTAAAACCAGACCAATCGCGTTCCAGGGGAAATAGGCTATCAACAATATAAAAGTAGCCCAATTCCTGAAGAAATATGTAAACTTGGCAACACTGTTAGAATGATTTCTGAAAGATCATGTGACACTGAAGACTGGATTAATGGCTGCTTAAAATTCAGCTTTGACATACAAAAATAAATTACATTTTAAAAGATAATATTTCACTTATTACTGTTTTGCTGTATTAAATAAATAAATAAAAATCTTACTTAGTTTTGAATGATGTAAATATATTTTACTCAAATACAATGATATCATGATATAATTGCATATATATATATATATATATATATATATACACACACACACAGTGGTGTGAAAAAGTGTCACACACACACACACATATATATTATACACTTTTTTTATACACATCTTTTTTTGCAACCATAATACTTAACGGTATTTTTACTTCATCTCAGAGGCACATTTATTGAATTCCGTAATGGAATGCTGAATGTCTCTCCAATTGGTCGAAGCTGCAGCCAAGAGGAAAGAATCGAATTTTTTGAACTTGATAAGGTAATTTTTTTAATGTATTCATCAACACATGCCATTGTCTTTTCAAAGGATGTCATTAAAGGTTGATTGACTTTTTTAATGTTCTTATTATGCAGAAGGAGAAAATTAGAGAAAAGTTTGTCTCCGTTTTAAAAGAAGAGTTTGCTGGGAAAGGACTAGCTTTCTCCATTGGTTCGTAACTTTTTATGTACAGTATATGTGGTTGTCTAGTTAATAATATATACATAATGTATTCATATGTATGTTTTTTTCTGCAGGTGGGCAGATCAGCTTTGATGTGTTTCCAGAAGGCTGGGATAAGCGCTACTGTCTGGGAATTGTAGAGAAAGACTCATACCAGCGCATCCATTTCTTTGGAGACAAAACTATGCCTGTGAGCCCAAAATCTGTGATGCTATCTTGACTAACAGTAGTATTCATGCATTCATGCACACATGCTATTGCATAAAATTCCCAGACTTGCTTGCATTAAGCAGTTTTGTGATGTTTTTTTTTTCCCAAACAGGGGGGAAACGATTATGAAATCTTTGTAGACCCCAGAACAATCGGTCATGAGGTCAAGTCACCTGAGGACACACTGAGGATCTGCAAGGAGCTCTCCTTCAACTGAAAGACCTCTGCCATCTAGAATGAAGTATAGTAGAAGACTACAACGTCCATGAACTATGAAATTATGAATAGGAGTCTCACTTGAAATGTCTAAGCCATTATTGTCTTTGTGTATTTCAATGATTGTACCTCATGACAGGTACTGGATAAACTTGGTACATACAGTACATCTGTACGTGTTCATTTTATATGTAATCTGATGCATTATTTACAGGTTTAAGGAACTGACTGGTGCAGTGATTATGTCTGAACATCTGTGCCTTAAGTCATGTCAGTACTGGACAATATACACTTTAAACTCTTATTTTTATTAAACACTTTGGTCCAAATTAAAAGACAGATATCATTCAGTTAAGACAGGATGGGTTTCATAAAATGTTACTGTACATGTGTTAAGGATTACTGTTTTTTTATCAGGAGCAAAAGTGATTAATAAAGATAGGTGTGGGCTGGACTAACTTCTTAACTAAAATTAATGGTGAAGGTGCAACAATTGAAGTCTCATTTTCATAAGAGGAATTTAAAAAGACATCAAGACAAAGGGCTTTATTATCTTAGAATTGATCGATTTTTGCTCAAATTAAACTGACTTAGTTAATTTCCTGACAAAACCAATAGTTCTTGGTTGGAAGTGTTGTTAATCTGCTTGCTTAAGTAAAATAAGTGAATGCAAACACTATAATAAACAGGAAATATATTCTGTATGGATATGATATTGGTGCGTATATTTCACATGTATGACTTCAACACCGTAAGAAAGAGTACTGTACATATTCTGAGCTAAACGCATAAAAGGTGTAAAACAAAGAGGTTCTTATTTTTATTTGCAACACATTTGAAAAAATAAAATTGCAATTCTCAATTTTCATAACCTACTCGCATGCACATTTTAGACTGATGAATAAAAGTATTTACTAAACTGATATTTTGTTGTTTTTTGCTCGTTTGTTACTAATTGCTTATTAAAAACTGATTTGCCATTTAAACTGTCCATTAAATAACCACAAATGTCACTTTTCCAAATATATATTTCATGGTTTGTACAATATTATTGTTTAAAAGGTATGACTGCATCAATCTGTACAAGTGCTTTTTAAAGTCCTTATCAAACCTAAAATGATACAATGCATATCCCAATTTATGATACACAAGACCATATAACCTGACCAAGCCAAACATGTGACTACAAGTTCAAACCAAAAGTTTTGAAGATTCTCTAATATAAAATAAAACAAAAACTGTGTGTTCTCATCCCAAGAGGAAGCAGAGTAGTCCAAAAGTCCTGTATTGCTGGTTAATGAATGGGCCGGTATGGAAAGGCCATGGCAGCAGGATGGAAGGCGTGTGGAGTGAGAGAAGGGTGTGCGGCGTGGGCCGTTAGCGGGCGATGTGGGGACAGAGCTGGGTGTGGGGTGTGCGGTGACAGTACGGGGTGCGGGCTGTGGGGGGAGGGGAGGGCGGACTGGTGTGGACTGTGGGGAGAAAGCACAGAGGGTCGACCCGGGTGGATGTGTGGGTACATGTTGGGCTGGAAGGGTCCGCTGTGAGGTGGAGGCTGCACTACTGGACCGGACATCACAAGCTGTAACAGACTGCAACACAAAGCAAACTTACTACTCAATGCTCACAAAAATAGTGAGTTACCGATTCAGGTTTCTGAATGGTTGATGGAGATGTCGATATAGATATATATCATCTACTGTATCACATGTAATAAAACATAATATAAATAGACCAGCATAAAATACTTCATTCATCATTATTCATCAATGTATGTATAGGGGCTTGTGCTAATCTTAAAATGGCCACAAATTATTCAATATCATTTTAATATTCAAATCTGCATGATCAGGTTTCACCTTCCGTGTGATCAGTGACTTACTTGTTGTGAGGAAGTCTGGAGCACAAAGTTCGTAGGTCCTCTGAGGAATAAACCATATGACAGGAAATGACATCACTGAAATGCTGCTCTTTTCGGATCTAAACACAAATGGTACATGGGGCAACTTTTTGAGCAATTTTCCCAGGCAACTTTTTTTGAGCAATGTTGCTTGGGCACTTTCCCATTGAGAATGGGTAACAAATTTCTATCTGGATACTTTAGATCAGTCGTGGGCCCTGTGTCTCACCTGGTTGCCCATTGACAGCAACATTGCCCAAAGTTGCCCGGCAACATTGCTCAAAAAGTTGCCCAGTGTATCATGGAGTCAACAGGCTATTATGAAGTAAGCATCACTTACCTCTGGCACACAGAAGTGCTCCTGTTGCCATGGCGACCTGAAGAGCTTGGGCCAGCCTATCCAGTGCCAGCTGGATATGATTGGCAGCAGGGAGGGGCGTGAGCTTCTCACACAGACGGCTGACTTCCTCTATCAGCGTGGCAACAGACTCCACTGGAAGCACAGCTAGCCGACCAATCAAACTCTGTTCTGTCAGGTGGACCTGTAGGAGTTTAAATAAAAACACATTATATAATCTAATACTGAATGGCCTTTTAAAGTTGCAATAAATACAACACCTGCAGCATGAGAAAGACTTGAAGAACACTCAGGTGCAGTTTAGAGTACAGCTCTTCATACGCTGTCCCTTTTTCACTTTCTCCATGGCCATTGGTCAAAGCCAACTTTGGGCCTCTCTCATAAGCTAACGGAGCTTTCACACACCACCGGAGCAGACCCAAAAGAGGCGTGATCTCAAGGCAACCTAACGGCAAACTGGAATTGAGGGGTGTGTTGATAAAGGTGAGGAGCAGCAGTCTGGGATCTTCTGTGATCCAACCAACCAGCATCTCCAAGAGTGCAGGGGGCGGAGTTAACTCATCTACAAGTGACAATATCAAATATATTACAAATAACTTACAATATTGTATTTATTTTTTTTTGTAGTTAATATTTTATATTTTTAAGGACCTTAATATTATAATAACATACATTCAGTATTTTATAATATTCACTACATAATTAATAAAGTAGACTGATAATTGTTTTTTTTTTAAGTTGTTGACAAAAACAAAAAATGGTACCTGAGGAGAAGTCATAGAGAGCCGTTACTGCAGTGATGAGCTGACAGCAAAAGCGAGGACTGGCTGAACAGATGTTCTGCAGGGTAGAGATGGCACACGGCACCAGTGTGCAGTAATCATCCATCAGCACCTGAGCCAAACGCACACACCACGCAGAGTGTGTGCGCTACACAAAAACCATCAGAAATGTTTCAAAAGCTGTCAGGTCACATTTTATCCACTTAAAACTAACATTCTTCTAACATTCATTTTTTGCATTAAAAAAAGCATATATTAACGACAATATAACAAATACTACCATGACGTAAAAATACAATATACTATTTAAACAATATATTTCTTGAACAGTGTTGTTACTGGTAATTAAAACTACAACTATTAAAAAGCGTTACAACTACAATTAAACTTGAAAGAAAGCTGAAAAATATTAGATTAAAACTTAAATTAGAAATAATCCCTTGGTTAAAAAAAAAAAAAAAGTTTAAGTGGAAGTGCTAAAATTACTAAAACAAAAACTGAAACCAAAGTAAATAAAAGCTTAATAGAAATATATATTTTAAAAAGCACAGAATTACTAAAACAAACTAAAATTAAAATGAAAACTGAAAATCTAAAAATAAAGCTATTTATTATTAATAAAGTTATTATTAATAAATGCTATAATAGTACTAAATAATACACCTTTAATAACACCTTTCTTGGTAGTTTTTGTGAAACTCACAATAAGCATTCTGAACCAGTTATCTATTAAACTGAGTTACCATGCTCCAAAGAAACCATGAATTAACATTAAAACACTGAACTCAAGGCACACACACACATATATATCACACACCTGTAGCCAGGTGGCTGCACACTCTAGAATGGGCACCCGACACACGGCTATCGCCATAGAAACTAGCTTCCCAAGCATGGCCATGCGGCTCTCATCAGCCTTGTTGCCTTGGAGACTGAAGAGGGCGGAGAAAATGATCTGTCGGACTGCATCTTTGCTCTGCTCCTGGAAATAACTGCACATGATCTCCAGCAGTTGCAGTTCTTGAATGCAGCTCATCCTCTGAGTCAAACACAACACACCATTCACTTGATTTTACGGACATTTTACAGAAAGACTTTTATTCAACAAGGATACATTTAATTAATCAAAACTGAGAGAGAAGTCATTTATAATCTTTACAAAAAAATTAAAAATCTAATTCAAATAAATGCTGTTCTTTTTTAACTTTCCAATCAATGAAAAAATGATGAAAAAGATATATCACAGTTTCCACAAAAACAGTTTTCACCATTGATAATAAGAAATGTTTCTTGATCACCACATGAGCATCTGAGAATTATTTCTATAAATTACATTTTAAAATATATTACAAAAAAAAAACAGTTATGTACTTTAAATTGTAATAATATTTCACAGTATTACTGTTTTTGCTGCATTTGTGATCAAATAAATGCAGGCTTAGTGAGCATAAGAAACTTCAAAGTAGGGATGCACGATATTAGATTTTTGCCTATATTTTTCGAATCATTTGGCCGATAGCCAATACAATATACATTTCCTTTCGTTTTGAAACACCAAGTCTCTCCCGTTTAGAAATTCTAATCAAATAATTTTTTTTCATTTTGGTTCGCTTTGAGCTTATTTGTTAGAACTAATAAACATTATTTAAGTTCTTTTTTAATGAGAGAACATTGAAAGCTTTGAAAATAACTATAATAAAATTCTGAGTGAACGAGTTAATTCCCTACATTCGTTCACTACATTTTACCCACAATCCTCTTTGATCTCGAGTGTACAACTGATGTACATTCGCTGAAGCACTATTTCCCATAATCCAATGTGGAGAGGACTGACAAGCTGGAAGAGATAGCGAGAGCAAGCGAGTGTGAATGAGAGTTTAACATGTAATATAAATGTTCATATGTGACGAAGATTTCGCTCACTTCATTTTGTTCACTTCTTTCTGATATAGTGCACTCAACTCCCATACACTATATAGGGATTAGTGAATGAGTGAATGAGTGAGCGATTTCAGGCACAGCTTGAGTTTCTATTTATAACACGTTTTTGCAGCGTTGAGCAATGTAGCCAATCACAGACATATCTGTTGATTTCTGGAACGCAATGGCCAATCAGAGGTGTTTAAGTTAGAATCCGCTCACCGCTCAAAACGCTGGAGTTCTTGTGCAGTGCTGAAATTTGTGTGCTCATGAATCCTCTCATTGTAACACACAAAGTGTAGACATTATGAAAGATTCATTGTGCTTATATTCATTGCGTTATAACAGAGCTTTGTGAGATCGCGATGAACTGAGATGTCAGCTTTTTAGTGATTATAAAGGGAGCACTCTTTGCTCGCATTCTACCATGCCAAACCATGCACGCAGCAGCCCATGCTTGCTTTTCTTCATAATAGCAGTGGTTTATGAATGTTGATGATTTAAGGTCTCTATGTTAAAGAACACCATGGACCATGGCATTACATGTTTACATACAGTTCTTTCCTTTAAACCAAAGCAGACTTAATACTTCTGTGCCTCACCTTAGGCTGGATGTTCCTGTCTTTAGGGACATGAAAGATGAACTCCTCCACCAGCTCCACCATGCTCTTCTCTAGTCCAGGCGTGGGGCCAGTGGAGCTCTGCAGAGCGCTGCCCAGTGAGATGTCCAGATGATACAGAACCTCTTTAGCCGCGCTCAGCGGATCAAGCCTCAGCAATGCATGCCGAAAATCACTCATCTCTGCTGGAGAAGTAATAT